ATGCATCTTGTAGAAAGTACAACTAGAGTCTCTTTGGAGGCCAGGATGGTGAAATTTTGTCTCACATACTCAGGACATGTTGTGGGCAGTATATTCCTTGGAAAAAATGACACCATGGTTGGAAAGGTGCCAAACTAATATATAGATTTTCATGAAGCCTAGGCAATAACCTCCTAGGCACATAGAGTTCCCTCACCTCTGAGAAAGTCTGATTATCTTAGCAGTTTATGTAGATAGATGTTTGTTAGACATTGTAGACACCTTTACTGAGTGAGGTAAATCATTTCTCCTTGAACAAGTATATCATTTTCCAGGTTTGGGGTGCCCAAAGTTGTTCTATGAGACAATAAGCTTGGATTTAGTGCCAACAAACCTTATTTCTCCAATTGGCCTCAGTAACCCCTATTTGGACTCACTTTCCCTGCCTATAAGTATTCAGACGTAAGAGTTGTTCCTATGCTACCCCATCCCAGCACTCATATGACCCAAATCCCCTTGTACCTTGAGTGTGGCAGTCTCTGCAGGGTCTCTGTGTCTTCTCACCCTGAGAGCAGTTCCTTTTCTTTGATCAGGATCCTCTTCCCAGATGAACTCCACTATCAAGCTCACAGCGGAATACACTGTAATGCTTTAGACATTGGCTTTTATAGACTAAACAGAAGACAGGATATTCCCATGGCACCACCCTCCTTTGTGATTATTTTATCCACTCTGGAGAATGGAGAACAGTCTTTGGCTGTAGGAGGGACAGTGTTTACTTGCTGGAGAAAGGATCTTCAGATACACCCTGTCAGACAGATTAGGCATGGTTAATAGGTGTAAGTCACACGTAGGTGTTGAATTGATCTTATAATAGATGCATTCTGGAATAAGAATCAGAGTGACTCTATGAACAACATTCTTTGTTGTGTTGTTTTATTGTTTAATTTCCCAACAGGTATAATAAAATAATTTACTCATTCACTGAACAATAATTTTTATAATGATGTTGTTGGTAGGTTCCATGGAATTGCCACTAGTAAAGGCAACTAATTCTTCCCCTCTTCACAGGACCTACTTTGCTTAAATCCATTTTCAGCATGAGTAAGAATTTACTCTACAAGCAGAGATTAGAACTCTACCAAGACAACTATAGGGTTTTCTCCCACTTACTATTCAGCTCCTCTTCTAGATTAGGGTTACGGTGCTTTAGAGACTTATGGGAAGGAGGTGTGCTATGACAAGGAGAAAACAGAAATACCTTTTGATTTTTGGATTAATGAATACAATTAAGTCACTGAGTATGGACAGATAAAAGCTATTTACTGCCCCATATAGTACTGTGTATTTAAAAATATATATACTTCACACCACTTTATTCTCTTTCAAGGGCTTGATTGCTTTAAGCAGATCTTATGTTTTTACATCACATCTTGTTGGGAATGATACTAAATCTCAAAGGAGGTAATGACTACAGTATCCTCATTTCTGACAAATTTCAAAGAATCTTGAGATCCAAGTCTTTCTGTGGTGACGGCAAGAACCTAGACTGCATTATTCTGTAAGATGTTTTCTTCTTCTTCTCTAGGCCTCATTGTGTTTGTATGGTTGAAATTTTAGTTAACTTTTATTTTTTTTTTTTACAACCTTAAGTTTGCGTGGATTTTTTTTCCCCCTTCTCATCTTCTACTTTATAGATATGAGTAGCCTCCTTCTCTACCCTATCTGTAACTACCAACAGTGTCATTTATTTAAAATACCGGTTTTTGTTCAAACATTCCTCTTGGTCGTAGAAACCTCGTGTATCCACTTGCCTTACAGTGGTAACTTGAGGTTGCTGTGAGGCTTGAATACTGCCACACAGATGGGTCAAATGTGTTAATGGTTGATTTCCAATGGTGGACAATATTGGGTGGAGCTCCCTGATTAAAACAATCTTGGAAGGAGGAGTGGCATACACTTCCATAATAGCTTGCCTCCAGAAAATCTATGAACCTGGAAAAAGGATGAAAGACACCCAAGCTTTGAGGAATCTTCTTCATAGGGACACTATGAGTCGCCAGCGACTCGAGGAAACATAACCACAACAACATGTTGTTTATAAATCTTCATACCTTTATTATACTTTTTTTCCTTATAAACTCACTTCTCAATTTTTACTGAAGGAA